ATATTTTTTTGATATATGATGTTTATGTCTAAATATTGTTTTATTTTTTGATTATTTTGCCAAATATCTATATAAGCCAAATATTGTATTTCCTTTTTTCTGGAATATTTTTTTTTTGTATAATACACACAGATATTTTATGCCAAACATTGTTAATTTTTTTGTTGTGTTTGAAAAGACAAATTAGCCCAACCAAAAGAAGTTACGACAAAGGGATTTCTATTTCTGTTTTGTTAGTTTGTTTTGTAACAAAGCAATAATACTTGATATCCAAAAGAAATGTCATGGTCAAAACATTTTCCTGACATGTTTACTTAAATTACGTTCTCTTTTCTATATAAAATTTGGATTTGTTTGTAAATTTTTTAGTGGCTAGAAATATGGGGGTTTTTTCCAAAGTTTTGAAAAAGGTTTTGCTTTTATTTCTTTTTGTTATATTTTGTGTGCTTTCATTTTGTTTTGTTAGTTTCTGGAATAGAATTGTTTTTTTTTTCTTTTCTTGTTATGTTAAATATTTATTTTTGTTGTTGTTGTTATTTTGTTTTGTATAATTTGAAGGCAGCTTTGTTTATTGATTTCCGTTTTCTTGTTAAAAGAAATAAATTTCAAAAAATAATTAAATTATATATCGTCGAGTATTTGGAAATAAAAAAAAAAAAAAAGAAAATGAACTAAAAATTATCTGTTTGTTTTGATGGGTAAATTTTGAAGTCGGGTTTTTTTTTTCGGTTAGGGGGTTTGTGGTTTTGTATTGTTGTTGGTATTTATTTGTTATTTTATTGATCGGATATTGTTGGTTTTGCTGTTGTTATTGCTGGTGGAGTTCAATTATGTTGTATATTGTAACTATGGTCAGGAAATAGTCCAGGATTATTGAGGGTGTCTTTAGAACTGTTTTGTCAAGTCAAAAGTATTTCATTTTTAAGAAGTATGCCCAATAAAATTCCTCTATTCCCAGAAGCTATTTCCCTTCGCTTGTTTTATTGTTGATATTTGTATTGTAACTGTATTTATGTACTTATTGCTGTCAATTAGTTTAGTTTATTGCCTTGGTTGATTGGATTAAACTATTTCGTTAAAAAGTCGGTTTTAATTGTTGTCTCGGCTTTGATGTATGTTGCAGTTGTTCTTCTTATTGTTTAAATTACTTGCTCGCATTTAAATTTCAATAAAAAATATATCGTTTTTATTGCAAATATAAGAATCAAAGTAGTTTTGTTTTTTGTATTTAATTTCTTAAAGAAAACGAAAGTTTGTTGTTGTAAATTTTGTGGTGTAGAAAGAGTGTCACAATGTCATCAATATACATATATTTTTTATTTTTGAAATTTATTTGTTTATTTTTATTTAAACATTAATATCATTATTTATTTGACTTAAATAAATAGTGATATTGTGGTTTAATGTAATCTTAACCTTAAAAAGTTTAAATTTGAAAAATAAATATGAACATGTGAACACCCTTAGTTTTGAATGTATGCTCATTCATTCACATACATTTTCCCTAGTCGGCTACAGCGAGTGTCAAAAAATATCGCAAGTAATTTTGAAGAATGACAAAACTACTTGAAAATATGGGGCAAAGAGAGGGTATAACAAGTAAAAAAAAATATTGAGTTTGGCCGGACTGAACTTTTAATACCTTCCACTGTTATATGGGAGTTATACGAAAACGTGGACAAATCCGTGGAAAAATGTGGCAAAAATCATCAAAATCCGAATATCGGGAGGTACCGTTATATGGGGGCTATACCAAAGCGAGGACCTATACATACAATGTTTCGCCACAAGAAACTAGGACCTATTATGACCTACAAATACCAATTTTCTGACAAATCGTTAGTAGAATTATTACAATGTGTGAAAATTGGCATGAATCGGGTGCTTATTCCGTTGTGAGGGAAGTACCTGAAGGAATGAACTTCACACCAGAACATGGATTTATAGAAATATTGGGATGTTATGAGTTTGAAAGGGATCGGAATGCTCATATCGCATTTTATGAGCTTCATGGTCTTACAAATTTTTAACCCGTTCTTCATGGCAGATTTTTGTCTGTTGGTAAAAATATTGAAATCTTGAAGACAATTGGATTCTTATTTTACATTTTATAAGAGTTATATTTATTCGAAACCCGTGGTGGGGGGAGGTACTTGATGGAGTACACTGATCCGAATATTAGAATTTTGCAAAATTCTAAATTCTAATTTTGCAAAATTCTAATATTCGGATCAGTGTACTCCATCAAGTACCTCCCCCCACCACGGGTTTCGAATAAATATAACTCTTATAAAATATCGCATTTTATGAGCTTCATGGTCTTACAAATTTTTAACCCGTTCTTCATGGCAGATTTTTGTCTGTTGGTAAAAATATTGAAATCTTGAAGACAATTGGATTCTTATTTTGCATTTTATAAGAGTTATATTTATTCGAAACCCGTGGTAGGGGGGGGGGGGGGGGTACTTGATGTAGTACACTGATCCGAATATTAGAATTTTGCAAAATTCGTACAAAATTGGATGATCCTTTCTTGTTGTATGAGGTAAATTTCTGTGAAAATGTTGACCTTTTGAAGGGAGATATCAGAAAGAGTGGAGCGATATTGACCCATTTCTGAACTCGATCTAAGTTTGATAATCATATTATGATGAATCAAGTTTGGACCAAATTGGATACTCGCTTCGAGAATTGTCGTGCGCACCATACAGGCAGGCAGGCGGACGGACGGACACCCCCTAAATCGACTTCAAATGTTCTAAAACGGATTTGGTCCAAAGAGACCTAGTATCGTTATTTCGATGAGGAATGTTTTGCTCGTATCAAATGATATAGGGTATATACGTAGCCATATGACTGAGGGTATAAAAAAGAGCTTTGTGATTTACAAAAGTTTTTTTTTAAAGATTTCTCCGAATTGCATTCATGAATGTTAATCACCCGAAGGAGAAGAGAAAGAGAGAATTTCGAATCTCTGAGTGAAAAAATAGGTTTCTAACATTTTTTTGTGGAATTGAATCGAAATAGCTACTTATATCCCCAATTCTTTATTGCTCTTTTGGCAAATAGTACTTTTTTGGATAGTATTTTTCTTTGGAAAATCGAATTTTAGGAAATTATTTTAGAAACTCTCTTAGTCCAAATCTTTGTTGAAGGTAATGGATTTAGAACTTAAGGTGAGAATACATAAAACGCTTTTTTGACTGGCTTAAGTCATCGGCTGGCTTCTTCGTAGAGGAACAAAGTAAAGATATAGAAGTATAAAGATAGCATAAGACAGAGTCAAAATATGGCAACCCTGTGAAAATACCTCTGTTGTTATGATATCATAACAACATATTTACCAATGTTAACTGATTTAAACGGCTAAGGCAATATGCAATTTTTTGGTAAGGTCTATGGAATAAAATTTTGAAACCACATTTTCGGATTTTTCAAAGTCTTATTTCTCATTCGTGTCTGTAATTGTGTTTTTTATATTAACATTTCCCTGTCATGAGCCGTTTTGTAGACACAAACCATTTGCTCAGAATGCATTTTGTCTAGTATTTACCATTTTAGGTCTTTGATTGTGGTTTCAAAGACCTAAAATGGTAAAGACTAGACGAAATGCATTCTGAGCAAATTGTTTGTGGCTATACTACCTTGAATAATAGCTCATAGCATAGGCATGTTAATATAAAAAACACAATTATAGGAAAGAATGACAAATAAAAGTTTGGATAATCCAAAATATTGGTTTCAAAATTCTATTCCATATACCTTCCCAAATAATTGCATATGGCCTTAGGGGTTGAAATTGCTTAACATTTGTAACTATGTTGTTACGATATCATAACAACAGAGGCCTTTTTCACAGGGTTACCATATTTTACTCTGTCTTGTCCTATCTTTATACTTCTATGTCTTTGGTGGTTTCTATATTAACATACCTCTGTTACTCTATGTATTGTAGACACCAACCATTCGCTCAAAATGCATTTTGTCTAGTCTTTACTATTTTAGGTCTTTGGTCTTAACCCTTTTAGGTCTCTGAATAATGAAGTTTTAGGTTGATTTAGTTAGATTTTGGCCTTACGCTTATTTGATCTTTTCCGAAGAAGCCAGCCGATGACATATGCCAGTCAAAAATTGTTGTATGTATTCGCACCTTTACAAGCCAACCAGTTTCAAAGACCTAAAATGGTAAAGACTAGACAAAATGCATTCTGAGCAAATGGTTTGTGTCTATACTATCTAGAATAACAGGTCATGGCAGGACCATGTTAATATAAAAAACACATTTATATAAAAAAATTACAAATAAAAGTTTGAAAAATCCAAAAGTTGGGTTTTACAATTCCATTCCATAGACTTTCCCAATTAATTACAGAAATTATTATTACAGAAATAAGAAATAAATAAAAACTTGTGAAATCCAAAATTTTGGTTTCAAAATTCTATTCCATAGACCTTCCCAAAAATGTGCATATTGCCTTAGCGATTTAAATCAGTTAACATTGATAACGATGTTGTTATGATATCCAACAAAAGAGGTATTTTTATAGGGTTGCCATATTTTGACTCTGTCTTGTCCTATCTTTACACTTCTATGTCTTTGAGGCGCTTTAAATCGCTTAAAATTGCTAACGATGTTGTCATGATATCATAACAACAGAGGTATTTTCACAGGGTTGCCATATCTTGACTCTGTTTACACTTACACCTTACACTTCTATGTATTTTCCCGTTTTGCTGAATTTAAAATAAAACCCTCTGCTTTTTGTTTTTTTATTTTTGAGTTGATTCTTTCTACTGGAACGTGTGCCTTTATTAGAAAAAGGTCCATTTTCATGTAATCCACAATAAACTCCTTCCTAAGGCTCTAAGAAGGAATTCAAAAAATAAGAAAACCCTTTAAAAAAACTACAAAATTCCAAAAAAAAAAAATATTTTTTTTTTGCGATTTTTAATGACACTCTCTGTATTATTATTGTTGTTGTTATTGTTAGTGTTGTTGTCGTATATTGTTTGTTTAGTTTATTGCTTAACGCATTTGTTTGTTTGTTTGTTTGTTTTTAGTTTGTACAAGTGCCTATTGCGTCGATTGTCAAAAAAGAAAAGGAAACTAATAAATATTTATATATGTATGTAGGAAAAAATTAAGTGAATTTTATGTATTTTGTATATATTATATAAATATATATGCATGAATAATAAATACATATATAATTATTCTATATATACATATACTTTGTAAAAAAAAACCATTTAATATATTTATTTTTTATATATATTTTGGTATATATATATAGTTAATAATGTAGGTTGTTTTGTATATTGTTTTCATTTGTATTGTTGCTGTTTGTTGTTGTTGTTGTTGATGATGATGTCTTTTATAAATCTATAGTACTGTTAAGTTGTTGTTCTTTTGTTGAGTTTATTAACTATTTTGGGCTTTTAAAACTGTTAAAAAGTGTTTTGTTGTTGACAAAGTGTTTGCTTTTGTTGTTGTTGTTGTTGTTTACCTTTCTAAGATTATCTATGTACAACGCCATACCATATATGTTTGTTTGTATGTTTATCAGTGTATGTTTGTATTACTATTTGTATTATTTTGTTTTTTTCCAAATTGTCTTCTTATCTCATGTTTGTTTGGTTTTGTTTTTGTTAACTTTAACCTAAATACATACACTTTGTGGGCTTTTATTTCACTTGCCTTCCATTTAGCTTAAAGAAAATCAAATTTCTAAAAAACAAATATTATTTATAAAACAGAAATATTCTATAGAGAATATTTAGGAAGAAAAAGAAAACAAAAAAAAAGTGAGAACATAAAAATTTTGACTAACTTCTTTCATTCTTTCATTCAATTAACGTTGACATTTAAAATTACACATCTTGACACGTTTGACAATTGTAAATGCTTTCATGCTCTCTTTTGTAGTGTTGTGTTGTTTTTTGTTGTTGTTGTTGTTTTCATTTAATTTCTGTAGCACAGGCATTTGATTTGTGTGTGTTTTTCTTTTACTTAATTTCACTAAAATTATTATTTATTACTTCTGCCTAATGTTTCAGCAGTTTGTCTGTTTTCCCGCTTTCCGCTTTACCACTGCCACACTTTCTCTCTCGTCTCGTCGTTTTGTTTTCAGTAACTGTAGTAGTTGTTAGCTAATGTCTCACTGCCGCCCGGTCCATGATGTGTTAGCCATGGATTGTGATGCTGGTGATGTTGCTGCTGCTGTTGCTCCTCATAGTGCTGGTGTTGGTGTTGGTCATACCAAAGGGGTTGAGAATGACGCCTTGACTGGTATTGGTAATGCTGTAACATGTCAATATCACCAACACCTTCGGCCATTCCACAACCGTATGATAATTGATTCTATAAGTTCTCTTCGTTTTCCTGTTGCTCCGACTTGATTTGTGAGAGTTTCTCTTGCAGTATCGAGGTGCCAGATTCGAGTGTAGGAATTTCACGTTTAACGTTGATGGCACCACCACCACCGCCATTTATATCACTGGCAACGTTGTTGTTGTTGTTCGTATTGCTGCCATTGTTGTTGTGATGCAAATGCATGTGATGGCTGCTACTGTTGTTGTTATTGTTGTTGTTGTGCAGTTGCTCACTCTTTAAACTACTTGCATCGGTTTCCGAGGCTGAATCTCTTGAAGCAATACGACGATCTCGTTGATGTAACAGTGTTTTCAAACTACCATGACCTCCTTTACTGCTACCACTCGTGTTATTGTTGTTGTTATTTTCGCGATCGTACTCATCCGCTCCACTTTGAGAAGTTTCATCGTCATCACTGCCACTATCGTTGCGTTCACGTTTAATTGATGCCGCTCGCAATGACAGGGGACTACCAGTCCGTTTGTTGGACGGCGAATGGGACAGACTATTGTAATCGACCATACCACGATTGTTGGTAAACGGCAATGGGGTCTTTTTCATCAACAACTGATCCAATAATACACCTCCGCCGCCGCCGCCACCTCCACTACTACTACTGCTTGGAATGCCACTAACTTCATTACTTTTACGATCGAGCGTCTTACGTATTATACCGTCCAAGAAATTCGCCCCATTGGCAGCATTTGTTTCGTACAACTCCCTCGCTCGATTAATATCATGGCCGCTTATTATGGGAGGACTGGATATCGGACTGGGACCGTTTGATGAATTTGTTGTATTACCACCACCGCTTGTGGCCTCCTGATAGCGCTGCATATGTGATTTCAATATTTCACTGCCCGTTTCTGTGGGCGAGGCACCACTACTGGCGGCTGTGGCATTACGATTCAAATCCATTTGTAATTGGCCGAAGGCGGCTTGTTGGTGTTGCCAAAACATGGTTGGCGCATAGGGCAGATGTGCTAAGGTGGGATCAAACATAGGCAGTTTCATGCCGTTACCGACATTTGCCGGAAATCCGGCCGTTCCCGTGCCACCGTTACTCTTCAAAGCCGCTCCGCTTAATTTCAGGCTGGCATTCGGTCCGTTGCCGGCTTTTAATTTGTCAAGACCTGCAGGAATGTTGGCATTTGATTTTGAACTATTGCTGGCACCATCGAGGCCGGGCTGTGGCTTGGGTTCACGCTTTCGCGGCCTCATTAGATGGCGCTCTTTAACCTTGTACTCTAGTGTTGAATGTGGAACTCCGTAATAACTACCAGCTCGGTGCACTGACATTTCCCCCCGCTGCACAGCCTTGACAGCCTCAACTAAGCTGTCGCGGTCATAGTTGCGATATTTGCCACGCTTGGGCCGGGTTCCTTTGCCAGCAGCCAAGGCTGCTGCTTCCTGACTTCTCAGATGGTGGGCATGCATGTGGTGGTGATGATGTGAATTGTGCATTGCAGCATTTGCCAGCAGGTTGGGCGCTGTTCCAAAACGCGATGTATCAGTACCACCAATATTTTTCACCACTGATATTGTGGGTTTCTTGTAGTCCATACCTGAAGAGTTGTTGCGCTCACAATCTGCCACCAGACCCAAGAGGACATCTTTGTTGGCCTGTTCGCTCATGGTCCGATGTATGCTATTGGCAATGACATCACGCATTCTCAGCGGTTGATTACTTTGGCCATCGACTCCGCCATGCAGCAGGGGCGGTGTCACCGATAAGCTATTGTTGGCGCCCAATTGATTTTTGGCTGCCACCAGCATCAGCGGACCCGGGCTATCACCACCGCCGTTACGATTGGAATTACTGTTGTTGCTGTTATGACAATGCAAAGCAGGTGATCCCCGAGAACTACTGGGTCCCATGGACGAGGAAGTTCCAGCCACCGGTGTATAGGACGGAATTTTCAATATCGCCGAGGAGGGATCATCACACGACTCATTGGGATCCATAGATGAATTCGTTTCCGGTGTATCAGACTTTGGTAAACGGCGGCCAGGGGCAAAAGAGGATTGCTGCTGCTGCTGTTGTTGTTGCTGCTGCTGCAGAAGTAATTGCAAAAGTGAACGGTAGTCCTGTTGTTGGTTACCATTGTTTGGACTATTTGTGTTTGGCTCATTGACAGTGGCAGCAGCGGCAACAGCAGCCGCTGCCGTCGCCGCCGTAGCAGCAGTTGTGGCTGCTGTAGTTGCTCCCAGCAGAACATCCTTTAAATTTATGGTGGAATTCAGCAGCAAAGCACTGAAGAGATCACGCAGATTTTTGTCGGAAAGAAGCAGCGTCTGCAACAGTAACGTGGCATCTATTTGGGGTATTTGTGGCTGTGGTGGTGTTGAGAGTTCGGCATTAGGGTTTAGTAAATTATTTGTTTGGGGCTTAGAGGATTCAGTGTGAGCGGGTTTTGGTGAGCTCAACGAAAGTGGCTCATCGGCGATATCCATCGCTCCCTCGCCATTATTGGCAGCGGCAATTTTCTTTAACATTGTCGGTGTGGTGATGCGTCTCAACTCATCATCTGGCTGTGGCGTCGAGGCATTACTGTCCACATCGCCCTCAGCTTCATCGGCCGACAAATCTTTTTCGAGTTCTTGTTGTAGTATTTCTGTGGGGGTATCAGCGCCACGTTTGGCACCCGTTGCCATTTTGTACATTTTGTTGCGCAGCGTGGAGCGTGGCACATTGAATTGAACGGCCGCCTTGCGAGTGCCCAATCTACCAGAAAGTACTTCGTGCATGGCGTTATTAATGTCCTCTTCGCTGTAGGTGCGACGTGTTGAAGGAACAGGTGTAGCACGTGATGATTTAATTCTGTAAAGAAGGGAAAAGGGAAAGAAGGTAATTAGAAAATGTAATACAACCTCGGGTGAATTTCGTTACAAATAGTAAATGGGGATCGAGCAATTTTTTTCACCTTCCAAAGAGAACGTGAACTTTTTATTGGAAGAGGTCTAAAGTTTTGACGTTTATTTTGTTACAAGAAAAGCCGTTGTGAAGAAGTTTGGCTGTAACTCGTTAACAAAAGTGTTATCTCAAAATTGGGCTAGTTTTCTACAGTTGCTTTGTTTGGTTTCCAAAAATTTGGCAAGTGGTGACAAATTGCGGAACTGTCCATATTTTCAAAATTATCGGTCATATTCAGGAGCAATTGCATTGATAAAGAATATATATTGATAAAGCATATTCGTTGGATTGATAAGGAGTATTACGCAAGAAAACGTGATAATATTTTCCTATCTGTCATTTATGAGTGCAGCTCAACTGACTCCTTTTGAACTTTTTTTTTTCCTTTTCAAAATTGCAATGAAAACAACAAAGTAGCTTTCTCTTTTCAATCTGTCAGAACAATTTTTGAGAGATTTTTAATGATTGATTTTGACAGTTATTCCCTTTATATTTTCGTTTGAATTTCACTTTGCTTTTGTGTTCGTGATTGTAACCAAAAAAACATCATACTCCAAATTCCTCTTTGTAAATTCATTCATCCTACAGCTTTTCTTCCCACACCATGAATATTTACTCTTCCGAGGCTCTTTTTTTGGTTATCTGTCCCTTGAGGAAGTATCATCCTAATGGGATGAAAGGAGAGAAATAAAAGCAGAATAGAAACAATGCCAAAGCATTTTTCGGACAGCATAAAAGAATGGGAATTTTTTCGGCGTATATTTACAGGGTGTACGAACAAGATGCTGCTTGAGGCATAACGATTTTTTGGGGACTGGTATTAAAAAGCGTTGGGTTTTGCATGATTTATAACCATTGGATATAAGAACAAGTGCGCTTTTAGATAAACTCTAAACTATTTTATGATCGTCAATGCGAGAAATGCCTGGAAAAGTTTTATTTTTTAGAAGCCCCTTTCAGAGGTATTTTTTCACAGACGACATTTTCGAAAGTGTATTTTCACAAACAACATTTTGAAAAGACCTGTTGCCACAGTCATTTACATACCATGCCGGACTTATGTCTTCCTTCATTGAAGGTCATTTGAAAAAAAAAATAGTTTGAAATTTATTCGTGTCCTAGAAGACTTTTTACGGGGTCTACGTTCCACAGACCTTAAAGTAGATATTTGAAAGGCATGTTTCCATGACATACCTTTTGGAAGGTATTACCCATCGATTTTTTTTACGATTTTCTTTACATAGAAGACTATTTGGATGATAATTTTTTCCACAGAAGACTTTTTAGAAAGTCTCTTTTTCTTAATTTTATTTTTAAATGTTCTGAAATCTCATTTTTGCTAGAAGTGTCATTCTTTCTAAAGATATTGTATTTATAGAGAATCTTTTGATGGATTTTATTGCAACAGAAGACCTTGCAAGCTCTTCTTCTGGCCTCTTCAAATATATTCTTTCCATCAAAGCCCTATTCGAAGGGTCTTCTTTGCATAGAATCTTTGAGGGTTGTCCTCCATAGAACACTTTTCTAAAGGAAAATTCTTAAGAAGCAATTATGCTAAATAGAATTCAGTCTTTTTATTCAATATAAAGAAACCCATTCCGATAAAATTTCGATGAGCTCTTTTTTGAGGTACCGTTACGTATGGCCTATACGAATACGTGGACCTGTATGATTAATTTTATGTCAAGGAACTTCAAATTTCATATTTGAAACACTTCCGGTTAAAAGTGTGACAAAAATCATCAAAACACCGAATATCGGGAGGTACAGTTATATGGGGACTGTACCAAAACTTGACAGTTCTATGCAAGCATATTTCTTACATAATGCGGACACATGGTGCCAATTTGCAGTAAATTCAGGTTAAAATTGTGACTAAAACAACCAAAAAAATTTTAATCTGCGGGTACTCATACATGGTGAGATAAAAAAACTTCAACAAAGTCAATCGTCATAATTTTTATTTTTTTTTAATTTTATTGAATGAAAGCAAAAAAAATGTCAGAAATAGCATCAAATTTTAGAATAGGTTTAGATTTGTTCGAATTGGGCAACATTGGCACGAATTATGGCCTTCAAACGCCAATGAATCCTTTACACACTGCCCGAATGTTGCTCTGTGGTTTTTTGTCTTATTCCCGGCGAAGTGCTTGCTTGAGGTAATCGACACTTGGGTATTTTTTAGTACCAAACTTGCTTTCCAAAATACTGAAGACACAATAGTCCAACGAATTGGTATCCGGAGATTTTGGTGGCCATTGTGAGCTGGAAATGAAGCGAGGAGCCTCATTTTGTAACCATTCTTGAGTGGCGCGTGGTGAGTGCGATGGTGCTGAGTCCCGTTGAAATGTCTGCGGCCAAATCGTTTGCGTGCTCAAGGCTTTAATACACTCTCTAGAATATTTTCGCGATAATATTCGGCATTTGTTCTGATGCCACCATCGGCTGTTATGGCTGGCCACACAATCACCATGATCAGCGTTTGAGTTCTGGTAGCCAACTGAAGGTGCACATTTTCAGCTGATCTCTTTGGCAAGTGAACACGATCATTTTGTTTGTTCACAAACTGCTGGACAACGTATGTTTTCTCATCAGAGAAAACCAAATTCGGAAGTTCACCACTTTCGGCCAAGCGAAGAAACTCTTTAGCTCTTTTGAGTATATTATCTTTCTTTTGAGGTGTAAGTTCTTGCACTTTTTGTAATCGCAATGGCTTTACCCCGAGCTCATTTTTCAATATTTGCCGAATGGAATATTGCGATATTTTCAGCTCACGAGTCATTTTTCAGCCACAGCGACGAGGCTTTTGATCAAGTTTCTTCTTTACTTTTCAAACCATTTCTGCTGATGTTGCTGTTTTCTTCCGTCCACTTCCTTGAGCTCGGGTTACGCTACCATTATTCGTATTGGGCACGAATTGACGAAGATGTTCGGAACGCCTGCCCAGCGTGCGATACAGGCCCGCACAATACGCTGCATCTGTTTAATTGCAGCAGAATTACTAAAGCTGGACATTGAGGAAGAGCCGGATTAATCAGAACACAAACAACGGAGCATGTTAACACTGCAACAACAACAACAACAATCAGTATCAAGGCAACGAGCGATGGTATGAGACACCAAAGATTTATTTACATTTATATGCTGGAAATGCCTGGAAAAGTTTTATTTTTTAGAAGCCCCTTTCAGAGGTATTTTTTCACAGACGACATTTTCGAAAGTGTATTTTCACAAACAACATTTTGAAAAGACCTGTTGCCACAGTCATTTACATACCATGCCGGACTTATGTCTTCCTTCATTGAAGGTCATTTGAAAAAAAAAATAGTTTGAAATTTATTCGTGTCCTAGAAGACTTTTTACGGGGTCTACGTTCCACAGACCTTAAAGTAGATATTTGAAAGGCATGTTTCCATGACATACCTTTTGGAAGGTATTACCCATCGATTTTTTTTACGATTTTCTTTACATAGAAGACTATTTGGATGATAATTTTTTCCACAGAAGACTTTTTAGAAAGTCTCTTTTTCTTAATTTTATTTTTAAATGTTCTGAAATCTCATTTTTGCTAGAAGTGTCATTCTTTCTAAAGATATTGTATTTATAGAGAATCTTTTGATGGATTTTATTGCAACAGAAGACCTTGCAAGCTCTTCTTCTGGCCTCTTCAAATATATTCTTTCCATCAAAGCCCTATTCGAAGGGTCTTCTTTGCATAGAATCTTTGAGGGTTGTCCTCCATAGAACACTTTTCTAAAGGAAAATTCTTAAGAAGCAATTATGCTAAATAGAATTCAGTCTTTTTATTCAATATAAAGAAACCCATTCCGATAAAATTTCGATGAGCTCTTTTTTGAGGTACCGTTACGTATGGCCTATACGAATACGTGGACCTGTATGATTAATTTTATGTCAAGGAACTTCAAATTTCATATTTGAAACACTTCCGGTTAAAAGTGTGACAAAAATCATCAAAACACCGAATATCGGGAGGTACAGTTATATGGGGACTGTACCAAAACTTGACAGTTCTATGCAAGCATATTTCTTACATAATGCGGACACATGGTGCCAATTTGCAGTAAATTCAGGTTAAAATTGTGACTAAAACAACCAAAAAAATTTTAATCTGCGGGTACTCATACATGGTGAGATAAAAAAACTTCAACAAAGTCAATCGTCATAATTTTTATTTTTTTTTAATTTTATTGAATGAAAGCAAAAAAAATGTCAGAAATAGCATCAAATTTTAGAATAGGTTTAGATTTGTTCGAATTGGGCAACATTGGCACGAATTATGGCCTTCAAACGCCAATGAATCCTTTACACACTGCCCGAATGTTGCTCTGTGGTTTTTTGTCTTATTCCCGGCGAAGTGCTTGCTTGAGGTAATCGACACTTGGGTATTTTTTAGTACCAAACTTGCTTTCCAAAATACTGAAGACACAATAGTCCAACGAATTGGTATCCGGAGATTTTGGTGGCCATTGTGAGCTGGAAATGAAGCGAGGAGCCTCATTTTGTAACCATTCTTGAGTGGCGCGTGGTGAGTGCGATGGTGCTGAGTCCCGTTGAAATGTCTGCGGCCAAATCGTTTGCGTGCTCAAGGCTTTAATACACTCTCTAGAATATTTTCGCGATAATATTCGGCATTTGTTCTGATGCCACCATCGGCTGTTATGGCTGGCCACACAATCACCATGATCAGCGTTTGAGTTCTGGTAGCCAACTGAAGGTGCACATTTTCAGCTGATCTCTTTGGCAAGTGAACACGATCATTTTGTTTGTTCACAAACTGCTGGACAACGTATGTTTTCTCATCAGAGAAAACCAAATTCGGAAGTTCACCACTTTCGGCCAAACGAAGAAACTCTTTAGCTCTTTTGAGTATATTATCTTTCTTTTGA